TTTTTTATCAGTATGCCATTCTAAATACGGAGATTATATATTTGATTCCCGGTTGTGCTCCAAACCGATTTAAAAAATCCTATCCCGCAATTAACACGCATGCGTGCGCTGCTAGTATAGTGTGGAAACCTTCATGAACTGGCATGTTCGGGCTGTAAATTGAGGGCATAAGACTCCGAAGGCTAATCATATTCTCGCTTTTAAAAAAATATAAAACAAACAGATGAAGAAATCTGAAGCTAAACGGATGTATAGCAAGTTTTACTATAGTCATGTTTTTTAGAAATTCATTGCATTTCACATTACACCGATTATATTAATACCGCGCATACAAAATAGGCTTTAGGTTTTGGTCTTAATTTAATTTAAGTGAATTTAATTTAAAAAATCGACGCTTTGCGAACCTTCTTGCGTTGTCACTTGTTTCGAAATCTTGTTCGCCTGATAATACATAAATTTGTTAAGTGAAAATCATTGCTGGTGGAAAATGGTTAAAAATTTACAAGACCTGTGACAGGACTTCTATTGTTGTATTATATAGACCTGTAAAATGCAATATTTTGAAGAGGCAAATAAACTTATTATTGTTTTTACCCATACTGGTAAAGGGCTTTTAGTGTGAGTAAACCCAAAGTCTTAGCTGTCAAATCATTGCTCATCCTTGTCTACTGTCACTCACGTCAATTACTTCCTACGAAACATGCATCAGGGCTGTCCGTCAAACTCATAATCTATGTCTAGCCGGAGATGTCCATTTGCATTAGTGTAAATGCAAATCTGTGATTATTATTAGTTTATCTATGTGTAATTATAATCTAGCTTCAATGATGGACATGATATTATAGTGGATAGCATTACATAGGGCTTGTAGATGGTGCTTTATATTCATTATATTTGCGTACAGCCTTACTCAGAGTGCATTTAATTATTACGTCTAAATTTAATGCTCGATTAGCTAACGACTGATTAAAGTCAGTGAAAAATCTTTAGTCTTCGTCTATTCATAATTTATGTAAATCTATATCAAAGACACTATATACGTATAATTCCTTCTTCTTCAGCCGCACTCTTCATTTCTGAAGGTCTTGTTAGTGGAACCACACAACTTCCTAGTGTTGTGTGGATCGGTCCAGCGAGTAGGAGATTGGCCTCGAGGTCAACTGTAACTCCAGCGTATAATAAATAATACACAATTTTCTTTTGTGCCCATCAGCAATCCCTAGTATTAGAGTGTCAAATTTTTAAAATTACACATTTTATTTGTTACATATTTAAATGTTATTTCAAGTACCAAGTAAGTGTTTTTTTAATAAAAGTTGTTTAAAACTTTAAAATTATAAGAATTATACAATTGTTTAGGGAAAAATATTATACCATGTTCAATAAACCTTGTGTAACATAATTAGTGACCGTAGTTCCGTAAGTAGTTATAATAACGATTAGATGCGTAGTTTAATTTAATTTCAAATATAGAATCCCAAAGTTTCACGTTCATCACGGGTATGACCACTAAATGTCAAAGAAAAAAAAATGTGAATATTATGCTTTGTATGACATATACGCCCATACTCTTTGACATTTCGTTTAACCGACGATAATCGAGCGAAACGAGACATCACTTTGTGTTTTGTTTTAAATTTTCAGGCTCGTGAAAAGAAGATTGCCTGAGGTATTACGGGACGATAGTATTATGACAATTTTATAAATTTAAACTAACAGTGAGTTAAAGTCAATTCTTTAAAATGTGTGTTTAAAATCCTAAACATATTTATTAAGCTGACAGCTGCAAATGAATCAAGTTTATCCTTTAGTTCTACAATTATTTATATAAACTCAATTAATCGCCGAGCAACCAGAATAAAACGAGCAAGAAGTGGTTTAAGTATTTTATAAATAGCATGAGAAATATTTACGGTAAGGACTTGACAATTCAAAGTTCTTGCGTTTCTAGTACCTGTCATTTATACAAGCGCAACATTGAAACTTATATGACATTATCATATGTATATGGGCTTATTTTATTTATTTATTAGTAATCTTACAGCTAACATACATATTATAAAACAAAACACTTACATTACATAGATCAACAATATATACGAAACAGGAAACATAAGTAAGTACATTAATAGACAAAAGGAAAAAAATAAAGAGAACTGAAATTTAACATTAACAAACGACAGGGTAATGGGATAATTTACCGAGAATGTCACATCTCTAAAAAAAAAAAAAAAAAAAAAATTTTTAAAAAAAAAAATTTTTTTTTTTGGGGGTTTTGGGGAGAAAAAATTTGGTGGGGGTTTTTAAAAGGGCCCCCCCCCCCCTCCCTTTTTTTTTTTTGACAGTTAATACTTAATATTTCAAAGCAAAAAACTAAATTGTTTCTGCTAAAAGAATCAATGTCTTCCCGCCTCTTCAAATATTTCCTCATATCCACTTTGGTGAGGTGGAAAATATCAACCTACAATCCTCATAAGTAGTGTTATAGTTAGAAAACCCCGACTTTGGCGAATTATTAAGGTAATTCATGTTGAACACATATGGTGGAGGGATTCTTAGAGAAATTAACGACCGCAAATAAATATTCTTTTACTGCCCAGAACCAACTGAATAATAAATATTATTTATAATATAGAACATACACAAATGTATATATTATTTATTAAAATACAGTATTAAAACAGCAACATTCGTGTAGCATTTTGTTTATTTTAAACATTCATCCAGAGGTACTTTATAAGATTAGGTATCACATTTATTCACTTGTTTCATTCTTTTCGTATTATCAGTCGTCTAATGTCCGTCTGAAAACGTTTCCCCGCCTTTCAAACATACTTCAAGAGGAGGAACGCCACGCTGCCTTATTAATATACAACAATAGAAAATGAATTATTTATTTACTCTAGTCAGATTTAAGATAAGGTCAGAGCGGTGGTAATAACATAATTCCTAATATTGCAAAATATCGCGTGACCAATTCTCGAGTTATCACTAATCAGTACGTTGTACGTGAATGCAAGGTTCTTAGATTCGGCAATTAACTGCAAACATTCAAATGAAATAAGTGATATTTCCGACTATACGGTCTATCAATCTAGACTACTATAAATATGGTTAGTAACCCAAGGATGGGACCGGCTTTGGTATGGGATACTACTTGTATGGACACGGTAGCGTGGTAGCCCGTCTTACCTCCCTGACAAGCACAAAAGCTGGCGCAAGGCAATAAATAATAAACGGCTCAAATATAAGAGTCGTTCCTCCAACTTTGATTATGTTCCCATTGGAGTAGAGACTCTTGGGTCGTGGGGTTCAAGTGCACAGGCGCTAATTAAAAGTTGGCGCCTGGTAGACTGAGTACCGGTGACCTTTTTTCATTTTATATTTTTAATTGTTATTATTATTATGTAGGTTAAGAATATTGTATATACTGTGTATTTGTGTGTTGGTAATAAATCTTTGTTTATTTACAATACTAGTTATTAAGATAATGCTCATTAATAAATACTTTTCGATGCCTTGCGCGCATTACACACTAAATCATAAGTAAATATATTTAGATTTTCAATAATATTATTTTATATGTGTAATACTTTAAATAACATGACGTCAACTATGTCCCGTTGTGTCCCTTTTAACCTTACCGTTAAGTAAATAAGACACAAAAAGTTTGCTTTACATGAGGTGATAATTACTCGATACTGTGAATTGTTAATATTATGAATTTCTTGAAGAATATTTGGGAATTATAGAATAATTGGTTTGTTTATTTGTAATGCCCAAACATCTCATTAAATTACTGCGAAGGAATAATATTCAGAACGTTACAGCGATCCAAAGGTAGCTAATAGAAGGCTTTTAACGTAGCCTTTTTTACAATCCTCATTGCCAACATAAAAAGTTTAAAACTTGAAATGCAAACCGTGTTTTTATGTATTTTACGCGGCAATATTTTAAACTAAAGAAAAAATAAGGAAACATTCAACGTGACAAATTAAATTTAAAATATTAATAATGTTTGCTTGGACTTTGCGCAGACGCACAAAAAATAGGATCAGACCGATATTGATATTGAAACAAAAGAAGTAGGTAATTGGAGCTTGTTACCTTTCTTCCGTGTTGGGAGGTCAGCCGTGACCAAGGCGAATTCTTCAAGTGAATAGATTAAAAATGGCGGCTATTAAAGGGCAATTAATCGTGTGGATTTTGTTTGCTTTACTACGGCGTAGTTTGTTTTTGGCTTCAGACAATTTTCAATTATTGACTCTTATAAACCTAATGAAGACTTTTTAATAAAAATCATTTCAAGCCAACATTCGTATCTTTAGTTACAATCTTGGCGGCTTCACCAAATCTCTTAAGTAGCGTTTGAGCTCCGGTTATTCACGCATTTCTGGAGAACGTATTATATCTATATATATATAAAAATGTTATGTCGGTTTGTGTACGCTTCAAAAACTCAAAAAGTTCTGCACCGATCGACCTGAAATTTTAGCATGATATATAATCCGCATCAAGAAAATTTTTTTTATCTATTTTTTTTTTCATTTTTTTTCCACAAGTATTGCAAAATTAAATTTATATGAAATGTTTTGTTTTGTTTCTCATTTCTCAACCATTCAATCACAGTGAAGCGTGGCTCCCTGCCACGCTTCACTGCTAGAGATACTAGTAGATACATAAAACATATACAGTAGAATCCACATATAACACTTCCTTATAACGACTATCCGCTTTTAACGACGATAATGTTTACTCAGTTAGGTTTCATAGTTAGGTACTGAGAAAATGTAACCGCTTTAGTGCGACTCCGTTTAAGCGACCAACTGCTTATAGCGCACCATTATTTATGATAATACGTCCGGTTAAAACGACGCCAATATTGTGTTTACACAACCTACGCACCAATACCTCGGCGCCCCAACTTCACCCCGCCCCGCGTGCATCAATCATAGTTAGTGTTTGTCACTTGTTATGACAAGTTCTTAAAGCTCGACAAAATGAGTTCTGTGAAGGAAAGTGTTATACAATTGAAGAAAAAGTCAATATTATTCCGATTAGAAGCCGGTGAATCAAATGCAACCATCGAAAGGAGTTTGTATTGTCTATCTCTTCTCAATTTCTACAATAAAGAAGAATAAATATAAGATCGAGCCGCTGTTTAGTGCTAATGTTTTGAAATGCAAACGTGAAAGGACTTCTGAGCTCATGAGCAGGTGGATAAGGCATTGTTAAAGTGGTTTAAGCTTCAGCGCGACCAGGGAATACCCGTTAATGGGCCTCTGCTACAAGAGAAAGCAAACTTTTTGCTAGACAGTTGCAGACAAGCATTTCACATGTTCGATGAGTTGGATAAACCGTTTTAAAGTAAGACACAACATCGTCAGTGGTAAGATTGCTGGCGAGTCTTTATCAGTTCAACAAGGTGATGTAGTCGATTGGTTAGAAAAGGTTTGGCCTATTCTGCGTGCGCAATTTAGAGATGATGAAATTTTTATGCATGAGACCGCTTTTTATAAATTAACCCCAGACAAGACTTTGAAATTTAAAACGAAATGAAGGAAATTATCAAAGGAGAGAATTACTGTATGTAGCACCAACTAGTGGCACTGTTAAAAAAAACTTCTCGTAATCGGAAAATCTCAACGTCCCAGATGTTTTAAAGATGTACGGCATTTGCCAGTGGATTATGAGAGCAATCAAAGAGCCTGGATGACTGCTGACATTTTTAACAAATGGATACGCGCATGGGATCGTGAACTTATGAAAAAGAAAATTCTCTTTAGTTGACAACTGTCCTCACATCCCCATATTGAAAACTTGAAAAACATAACCCTGTATTTCTCCTCCAAACACAACATCAGTGTTGCAACCCATGGATCAAGGGATTATTCGAGCTTTGAAATCACATTTTCGTAAAAACCTTGTCCTGAAAATGATCCAGTTACTAGACGGTCGCGGAAGCAGTAGTGTTGATTACTCAAAGATAACTGATGCTATTCTAATGATTCAAGATGCCTGGACCCAACTCAAGCAAGACACAATTTTTAACTGTTACAAACACGCTGGTTTTGTCCGAAGCAATGTAGACTGTAGCGTAACTTCAAACGCAGATGATTTTAACGAAGAAGACGACGTACCGCTGAGCACTTGGGTGAGGGCTATTGATAAACATCAGTTACTTATAACAAACGAGGAGTTTGAACAATACGCGTATGTCGATGATGCTGTCGCCACTTGTGAAGAACCGTCTGATGAAAACATTGTGGTAAATATCATCGCCAACGACGCGAATGGCAAGGATAGCGACGGTGATGATGACGAACCAGAGGAGATTCATCCTACCGTGAGTGTGTCTGAAGCTCTGAAGGCTGCGGAAACGCTCAATGAGTTTGTTCAAACTAACTTCGATGATGATCTTATGAAAACAATGATGTCACGAATGCACAATGCTGTACGAAGTTCTTATTACCGAACAAAAGTTAGTCAAAAACAAACTCAAATAAATGACTTTGTACGTTAGTTAGTAACAGAGTTTTAGTGTAGTGCGTGTGTATGTATTTTATCTCTTTGTATTACAGTACATAATGTACATAACTATTTTTGTAATTTGGAATGTTTAAGAACCATTAAAATGAAGCTTTATGTGATTCCTACAAAATGTTTTATTTACCTAAATAAGAAAATCAAACTTTCCCAATTATAATAAATATGTATTCGTAAGTTAAGTACATGGAATATTTCTTAAGTACATACATTCATATGTATTCTGTATGTACTTAAGAAATAATCCGTTTTGTACGTCATCCGGTTAGTACGACATAGTATCGCCGGTCCCCTTGAAGTCGTTATTTCCGAATTCTACTGTATTATAATTTATTTTTTTATTACTATTACTATATGTTTGTGTTTTACGTATTTTGCGATAAGCCTTTAACGGTTAATCTTCGCAAGCTTTGGTGTTAGTTATCGAAAATATAGTGGTAGAATTGTCTGAACATTGATTATTCTGTAAACTTCCTTCTCATGGTGTAGGAATTTTTATATAAAGCTACTTGCATATACGACTGGTATTTTAATCTAGACACCCGGCTTACGTTTCTATCACTTAACCTTAAAAATGTTAAACATACTCGCAGTTTCTACACATAGAAATTTCCATTGTTGCATGTAAATTGCGGATAGGAAGTGGATAAAATGACTACAATCTCATTTAAATGACCTCGCCTACTTTCCTTGGTGCCTTATAGCATTATGATTCCATTATAAAACCATTAGTTAGATAGCTCTGCAGTTCTGTGTAGTCCCTTTCGAAATTGAGTTTGCATTTTGAGGTATAAAGTGAGCGATAATCGTTGCGTGGAAAGAAAGATTTTATTATATTTACGTAAATTTATTTTCGCTATTTATGTTATCAAATCATCGCTGTACTGTTATCAAAATACCTATTTATATTTTCTTTAAATTTTAAACCCTTGGATCTTATCAAATGGGTTCGGAAGAGCAATTGTCAAATGGGCAAATAGACCGCTTGTTCGTTCGTGTACATCCGGGGTTCGAACCTACTAGTCATGAAGAATTCGAAAAAAGATTCACCCGCTGAAGTCACTAGGCCAAAACTGTTCTTAAATAAGTTCTGAAGGCATAGGAATGGGTAAAGTTATTCATGAAGCCTTTCGAATTTTTGGACTGATTGATTTAAACTAATAGTATTGTGCAAATGAAACACAATCGTAATATAGTCTAAAAGTTCTCTTGCTCACATTTTATATTTAATATTCTTTTAAACATATCTTATTAGATATTAAATATAAAATATGTATATAAATGTGTGTAGAAAAATATAAATAACACCTAACAGTGATCTTAATATTTCTTTGCCTAACAGTAGATTAAAACTGTATGTAATATATTTTGCCGTTATTACAATAACGTACACAAGTTCATATAACATAGAGTTGTGAAATATTACTCCGCAAAAATCACGATTCCGACATTTCAAGCATCGTTTATGGGCTAAGCTTGGCATTTGTACGCATTCCTTATGAGTCTCCTACAAGTTCACTTGCTCTGTAACGTATTTGACACTTCAATTTAGAATTTGAAGATGGAATCCCGTTGGCAGACTGTTTGATGATATCTCTTAGTTTCAGTAATACTTTTTATCAAATCAAACTGTCTTAATTGAGAATAGAGCAGTGTTGGCCAAGTGGCTTCAGCGTGCGACTCTCATCCCTGAGGTCGTAGATTCGATCCCCGGCTGCGCACCAATGGACTTTCTTTCTATGTGCGCATTTAACATTCGCTCAAACGATGAAGGAAAACATCGTGAGGGAACCGGCTTACCTTCGATCCAAAAAGTCGACGGCGTGCGTCTGGCAAAGGAGGCTGATGACTTGCTTGCCTATTAGATTACCAAATGATCATGAAACAGATACTGAAATCTGAGACCCAGACCTAAAAAGGTTGTAGCGCCACTGATTTTTTTAACTGTCTATCGCATGGGTTTGACATGGCGACAGGTTAGCTTTTTAATATAAAAACGTTTACTGTCTTTGTGGCTCATAAGAAGTCCGGTTCTCTGCGTAACAATTACATCCGGACTGTAAAGTTCCTGTCATTTAATTTTTTTCACGTCGCGGATGTGAAATTTCTATTGTGTTAATTAGTTTAATTAAAAACATTTTAATATAAATCATTATGCAAATATGAAACAATGGATAATTATAAAAACAAAGCCTATAAGGAACCGCTTATCTGGTTAGCAGCAGGTGTCAATAATTCATTTTGTCCACATTATCAAAGTAATTAAATCGTAATTGTTATGAATGACTGAAGTTAATTCACTTTCGCTTGTTATTGTGTCGGGTTAGGAAATTAAATAACCTTGGGATTTTTTATATTCATTTGTTTCTATTGTCCAAAGTATTAAGTATCAGTATTGATCAGGCCTAGTTCGAGTATAAAAAACAATAAAAAATGTTTATACTGTGTGTGTATACACATTTCTTATTGATTTGTATCCAGTGGACAGTTTCCAGTATATTAACTAAAAACTCTTATACAATTTCTTTAATACTTAACAGTGCATTTTGGTTTCGGTAAAATTGTATTAAAATTATTTATTCTTCATCTATGTTAATTACACTAATATATATAATATTAAGCCTTAATTTATCCACATCTTATTGATATAAAAGTCAAAAATCATTTATTCATGTAGGTAACACAATGTACACTTATGAACGTCAAAAAAGAAATAAACATTAAATGCTTCTAAATTAACATTTACTGCCAGTTCTCAAATCAAGGGCGTTGAACGGAAGAGAAGTACTGGCAATAAACTACATGGCAATACACTTAACAGAAATGGGTATAAATACAATTTTAACTACTCTAATATGCGGCCCCTGTCGGGGATAAGGCTTCCTCCAACTTTTTGAAAATCCAAGTTTGTGCTTCATATGTAAGGCAATGCAGCAAGCAGGAATCACCTTTTTCTTTAGTCTAAGTGGGCTTACCTTTGAAGATTTCTTTTAAGCTCCAAAACTTCTTCCAAGTTGTAGTGATGCGGCGCTCCAGTTACTTGTCGTGCCACAGTGCAATTAGGTACACTAAGCTGATGTGAAATACATAAGACATTGGAAAATTAAGCAAAATACTCATTTATTATCATTTATTATCTTATATCCACGGAGAAATATCGCTGATTAAATGATATGTGATCTTTAATTAATATAATTTTATGTTGTGTTTTTGAAGAAGATATTGTATTTTTCGATTTTTAAGACCATGAGGGACCAATAGGAACGATTACCTCTTATCATTATAACATCTCTTTTTCTTTGCCGCGACAGTCCCATGTGCAGAGGAATCAGTCACCCACGTAGGCCTGATGTGGCTATGGCTTCCCAACAAGCAGAAATCCTCGAAGCGTCCAAATATCCGTCTAAGTACGGAATCTGAGTCCACTCTACATACACACACACACACACACACACACATACATACATACATACACACATCAATACATACATATAAATACATACATTCACGACCATAAGACGGGTAAGATTCAGAGTTTAGACTTGATTTTTGATATTTAGGAGTCATAGTTTGCACGAATTTTCGAAATTGAGGTCAAAAGTCACTCTTCTTTTCATATATTGCATACCTACGATTTAAGCGTAGGCAATTGTTACAATCTGAAGTGTTTACAAGCACTTTGACATTTGACATCGTTGCTTGTCGAGGTCCAGCTAAACAAGTTTAGATTGACATTTCGTTAGCCTCATACGGCTACCTGCTACCATCTCGTCCTCGTATGCCCTTTGCTGGAATTCATAGGAAGGAATTGCAAGACGAGATAAGAAATATGGAAATATTACAATATTTATGGAAAATTATATATAGGAAACTCTAATCGCACGTGAAATCTTTACGCTTTTATACATAAACGGTAGAACTTTTGATAAGATAAATTTATTTGAGTTGTTGTTATTTTTTTTTATAGAATCTCGCTGTTGGCCTTAAGAGCATTTACAGCTCAGCTCGGGTTGTTAGTTATTGTTAATAAATTATTATTGCATTATAGGACTACTACTAAGATACCAATTATTAACTTAGTACAGATTTCCTTCCAATTGTAAAGCTTTACAGCTTTAAGTAAATATTTACAATTGTGACATTTTGACGGAAAGAGATTTCGATATATTTAACATAAATAAGTTATTTATTTATTAATACTTCGTTGCAATAACATAATAAAATTGACAAAATTAAATGAAAAA